AACATTCTTTGTTTACATATGTCTGGCAGTTTTCTGTTTGAATAACATCCACACAATTGATCTGGATGCCATAGCGAGAAAGTGTATTAGATTGGTAAGAAAGTGACGAGAGCTTTTCGAGAAAGCAAAAAGCAACTTCTAGGCTGATCTCTATAAAATTTTAATGGTAGAAATGTCAAAGCATTGGATATAATTTTTATATTACAAAACATTACAATTTTCTTATCAATCTAAAAACGATGGTTCGAGGACCAACAATTTTCAAAGTACAAAATGACGCAGATTTTCTTTGCGGTACAAAATTGTCTTAGAGATCTAACGAATAAAATTCTCGAAATTTTAATCTCGTTTGACAAATGGCGTGGCTGAAGAGACGGGGAAAATTTATATCTTTACGTGAGCATCAAATAACCAAAAGTTGCAATATGTTATTTTTATTCTTCAGTCATTATAAGATTAAAATTTTCCCCATTTCTGAATGACGATGTAAACGCACATTGAGCTGCGACGGCAGTGTGAATTTTTTCTGTGAAAATCAAGTCCTATCGACGACGATCTATCCTCAAAAGTGTATAAAATCGTATTGAATTTCTTTAAAGATGCAAGCATGCATAACTAAAGATATTCTTGACCAAAACAAAATAATAAACAACAGCCTCGAAGACTGGAAACTGTAAATTGAAATTTTTTCTTGGGATTCCCAGTTGAAGAACCTGGGAGTATGGAAACTTTCCTTGTTACTAAAGAACTTTGTCTTTCTAACAATTTATATTTTATGATCTTCATCGTTTTCTCGGCAGGTTGTTCACCGCAAATACTCGAGCGCTCGCTCTCGAATATAACGAAATCAAAAACGCATAATGCGGACAGGTATGAAGAATGCCTCTGGCAAGGGAACCGCTGTTCACTTTAGATTTCAATTAACTTTTATAGGATGGTCAATTGCAGCAATATGTTGCTACGTGTAAAAAATTGTAGACGTAACAAATAAACTTTAAATAATATAATTGCATATTTATTACTGTCCGTCAGGTTGAGACGAAGCTCATTCCCACAACTACTTTGAACTATTTAAAAACGTTGAGTCTTTCCCTTGAAAAGGATTCACACGATGTGTATCATCTTATGATTACATAATTCTAGGAAATAAAATTTAATTCAATCCAGGGACATTCTCTTCAGCTCTTCGCTAAAGAATCACACTATGACGGGCGCATGTCGTTTCACGACAAACCGCGTCACCAACGGAACGGAAGTGAGGAAGTAGGGACAGGAAACGAAGCACGTCGTCGAGTTAACAAAACTCACGAACTCGAAAGCAACGTTTTCCGCGTGGAAACAACGCACGATCCACATCAGGGAAGGAAAACCCCAGGACTGCTTTGTCCCTCTTTCTTTGAGGTTTATTTTCACGTCCAAAGCCTTTCATGGCCCTCCCAAGCGTTTATCCTAACGTTTTCGACTTTAGTATTTCACCTAAACGTGGAATATGTTGGTCGGCTGTCCACAATGCTTTTCCTATTTCGATGCATTATTATCACAGTGATATTTCTATCTGATTTTATATTTATATAAGTTACACTTGATTTTGTTAAGTTTCGATTGAAAAAAAAAACAAACCAATTCATGCGCCAATCCAGTAACTGGTCAACAAAATATTAAGGTCAAAAAGTTAAACTGAAAGAACCACGAAGGACTTGGGATATTTTTATTATGGAAACCCGAGCGATACGTATCCGGAAATAATTAATTATATTCACGGACGAACAGGTCTAAGAATCGACGACAGTCGTGGAAAAGGTGTCGCGACGCGGAAGCACGGGGTGCCAGAGAACATCCCGTCGACGAAAGGGGAAAAAATGAGAAGTGAAATTTTATGAGCCCTAACTCGTGAGCGGGAGCGTAAAGCAGCTTTACGACGTCTCGAATGAAAGTTTCATTTCGTGATGGCGCGACACGAAGTCGTCGAAGGAGAGGAAACGGCTCATGGATTAACTTAGCCGGAAATAAACTGTCGTTCGAGGCGCGAGTGTATCGAAAGTTCGATAAAAATAACGGATTGTATGCGGATCGTGCGACGTTGGAAGAAATAAAATCACAAGAGCAAGTAACCGATTGAATCTGAAATGCTCGAACACTTCGAGCAGATCTAGGGGATGGAACGGAAGCTTCGAGCTCAAAGAGAAAGAAATTAAAGTGTCATCGATGACTACGAGGACGAGGAATTTGTAGGAATCAGAATTTGCTCTTGGGGTGTCCCAGATAATATTACACCCTTCACTCTTTCTAATAGTTCAATATTTTTTAATTAATTGTCCACATTTTCAGGACACACAAAATAGCAATATTTTCTTGGACACTCGAATAAATACAGGGACAACTAAATCGAAGCAATTATCTAAGAGACCTGAAATAAGGAATTTCTGAGAGCGTCACTGCGGCAATTACGGTGTGCAAGAAGATATTCCTGAGGGAAGGAAGAGGAGAACTATTCTAGAAAATAACTTACACTCCCCTACTGTAACAGTATTGGTTTTACAGCCACTTTAAGGGTTAAGAAATCGTCTCTAATAAGAGTAATACTACCAAAAGAATGAAATTTTAAAACGAAATTCAACAGAAAACTAAAACGTAGAATGTTCGCACCCCTCGTCTAAGCGGAATGAAATAATTCTCAATATAAAAAGAAACAAAAACACTCGCGTGGGAGATCAATAATCGTCTCCTAAAGTAGAATACCATCGGAAAGAAAATGGAGAAGATATGATTTGCCAATGCCTTACCTGGACGAAGCAGACATGTTTATGGTCCTTCGTTTCGAGGACTATTCTTCAATCCTCTATGACGGCTAAAAAACGGGTCAAACATCGCAAGTGAACGTGAAACCTCACGTGTAGTCCCGATTGCGAAATGGTCCCTAAAAATTCCACTTATCTTTCATTGCTACATCGACGGATCGTGAGACAGTCTCGATTCGAAGCTAAGGTTTCCTCGATAATGCGCCGCGGGGACGTAGAATTCTCAGAATGAAGCAGACTTCGCTCGCGCCGTGTAGACGATTCTTTGTCTACACTCTTTGGACAGAGTAGTCATAGAGGATTAAAGTCGGACGTGTTCGCTGGACGGACATCCACGCCGTGTGAAGAAGATCCCTGAAGCACTCGCTTCGGAAGCTTTTGCATGAAAGGAACTGTTGTCTCTCGAACGGAGAGACACCCTCTTTGTCGGTACATCTAACATCACACGAGGAAAGTAATCTAGATGAAGAGCTTATCTCATGACAACGCCGGCGCCGAGCGATCGTTCGTCTTCGTTTTGCGCAGCTTTACTGTTGCGAATATGTTTGCCCTAGAAGAACGGAACGGTGACGGGAATTTAGTGCAATGAACCAAACTGAAATTTCTTGTTATTTCTCTACTGCTATGTTTTATAATGTTCATCGCGTTAAAATGTAGTAATTCAAGAGGTTAATCAGGAAAGAATTTTGTTTATTCGCTAAGAAGGACAATAATTGATAACATTATTTGAGGGACAGAGAACAAATTGTGTGGGACTTATTCAACCCCTTGAATCATTACAAATGACTTCTCAAATCTTTGTAACGATTTTATATTAGGGCTGAAATTTCTTGTCGAATATTTTCTGTTCATACATTGGAATATTTTATAAAATCGATCAAATATCCAGAATCTAGATATTTGATTTAATAAATAATTCAAACTGTGTATGAACAATAACGAATAATATTATTCACTAATTCAATAAGTGAATAATAATATTCAAATAATAATTTTCATGTACTTAAATACTCAAACACTTACATCCATAGAATAATCGAACACAAAACAATTCGAAGAATTTCAACCTAACTTCAAACCGCCACTTTGTTTCCAAACGTAGAATATAAAAAATACTGCCCCTATTATTTCGCGCGGCTCTACATTACGGTCGCAAAACAAAACCGGTTAAGTGTGCGCGAGACCTACGAACCTGCTATCGCAAACTTGCGCCATACATCGCGAAAAACACAAACAACTATGTATAACAGTCGTTCAAACATTGGCAGAAGTAAACGCAAATAAAACGGTAAATTCCTACGTATACTGGTCGGAAACGAAATGCTCGTTAGCGTTAAAATTTTACCAAATGGCCGCGAGAAAATATAATAAAACGAGACTCGCGGGCACCGCGAATGAATTCCTCGGGAGAGGGAAAGAGAACAAAACAAATAAATAAATGTGAAAGTATTTAACGAAGTTTATAACGAGAAAAACTCGAACACCGCTTAAAAACGGTAACACGATAACGGCCATTTACTTGCGGGCGAATAAGCGTTGCCAAATATTAAACGCGACTCGATAAACAAGGTTTTAGCGTTTCGCTATGGAACACCGTGGGAACGGAATTAAACTTTTCATGACATCTACGTACAATATATTCAAATGAACCAGCCATGCCAACAAACAACACCGGAAACCAATTTACACGATTAGCGAGTGAATGTTTGCGCATTATATTTCGCGTTTAGATCGTTCACACAGAAACAGGTTTACACTGTCGTTCTTGTTTGACGTGGCAAAGTATTTTCCCCACTCGTTAGGTATTGGCGTGCGGCACTCGTAGCTAATGACACGTTAATTTGAATCATCGATGCGTGTATACCTGCTTCTGACGCATTTCTTCGCGCCGTTTGATTCGGGAATTATTGGAGCGTAAATGAGAAAGAACATTTCTCGCTACTTTATTCTCTATGAAGTTCATATAAATCATTAATAAAAACTGTTAAATATTTGTTAAACTGTAGTTAAACGTGCGAAGATTCGTAGGTTTTGAAGAATTTTTTAGATGTACCGAACATGTAGGGTTATATTAAGGAAGTAATTCCGAATGAAATTATAAAAATTGGTGGTAGTCTCTGCAAGCTGAATTTGTATTAAAATTTGTTGGACAAATATCTCAAAATATTATTAGATCTGTGCATGCACATGTCTATCATTTTATGTTCATGAAAAATTATAAAAATATCTACCAAAGAGGTAATTCACGTAGATATCAAATTAAATGCGCTAGGGGGAAGTAATACAAGAATATGCGTCAAAAACAAATTTTAAGATGCAAGTTGAAAGCATATCTGTGTTTACGGCGCGAGGCGGATGATCAATATAAATGCAAGAATTTCATTTAAACGTTGAACATGAATACAAAATTCTCGAATAAAGGCAGAAAAAAGTTCGGTTTCACGTGCATATGAAATATTTGTATTTATAAATGAAAAGACGGAAAATGAAAGAACATATTTACGCTTTTGTGTAATCACAATCTGCTACATGTTCCGTTACAAATTTAATTATATTTTCTTCTGCGTGCAAACATAAAAATTAGCTTCACTTAAAAATTCTTTCTGTTTATTTCATTACACTACCATAAGAGTATTGTCGATACAGCCACCCAAGCCAACGTCATCATAAAAGCAATTTATTAGCAATTTCATTTCATTTTATACCTGATGTCCTTCAAAACTCATTATTCAAATAAAAATAGTGCTTGCAGAGGCTACAACGAATTTTCACAAGCAAATGTCATCAATGGAGTCAACTGCCTTTTCATTCTTAGATCTTCTCTAACAGTTCTCCTCTCTAATTTAACATGTAAGAAAACATTGAACACTTTGTTCAACACACTCGTGCAAAATGGTTGCCAGGGTGATATGCCAGCAAAAAACAAACATTAATAAAACGACTACGACATAATACGTGCCAGTATACAGAAGCAATCCAGGTATCAACGAATTACAACAGTATCCTGCAACGACGGTTCCAACAAGAGTTATGATTGAATCACCATCCATAACGTTGTTTTCACCGTCGCCATACAAGCCACACGTCGACGTGGTCTCATTCTGACTCGCTCCATGCGCTCGCTTAACGTCAACGCGTCGATGTGGTTTCTAAACGAGCGTCGACGAAAGCGCAAAACGTGGCAAACGGTGACTAAACTTACAAGTAAGAAAAGAGAGGACGCTCTAAAACAAAAAAAAGATCAAGCAATGGGAAGCATTACATGAGAGACTCGTGGTCATTCGAGGTGCGAAATGATTAGGTACGCATGATGACGATCGAATTGGAATGTAACTCAACGATAAAAACAAAATCTCAAGGACGAAATCATAAAACGGTTTCGCGTTTCAATTGTCACGTTAGCTTCGGATTCATCGAGCCCAGAGGCAAGCGTCTCCCCGAGTTCGATAAATTCATCGAATTAATTATAATTATGATTATAATTATAATTCACCGGGAGACCGAGGAGGCCTCGACCTGGCCTCCGATACTCGAACGAATAAAACAGAGAATACAAGATAATTTCTTTAAAGATTTACTGCTGCTTCTTCTTCTTCTTTTTATTCACCGAGGCGTCCACTCCCCAGAGATCGTACCAAGGTCCACACATGTTCTTATCCCTCTCCCTATCGGAGTCCCTTCGGAGCTTGGTCCTTGGTAGAAGAGTCTTCTCGGAGACAGTTTGATCCTTGACGACGATGCAGCTGTACGTAGACTCTTCGTCGGACGCCTCGGTCTCGCTGAAGTTCTGAGTCAAACCGTCCTCATCGTCCGTGTACTTTTTTCTCCTCTCGTTTCTTTTAGCTTCGTTATTCTCCTTCAACTCTGCGACAATCATGTTCCGCTTGGCCTCCATGCTACGCTTCCGCTCCTTCTCGATGATGGCTTTCCGCGAGACGTTCCCCATGAAATAGGACCTCTCCTCTTGATGCATCCGATACTCGGACCTCTCAACAGCCTTGGGTCTTTCGGCGGGAGTTGGAAAGTCTTCGAAGTAGTCAGATTTCTCTGGCACGTGGACCCTCTCTGCAGGCTTGGGTTCGTCTTGCCTGGTCTCGTTTGTGATGGTGGTATCACTGTTCCTGGTCTCGATACTCTGACGAGAAGTGGGACTGCCCTCAGGACTCTGCTTCTTCGTCTCCGTAGAATTACCATTGCCTTCCTTCACCTCTTTCTTAATCATCTTCGGGATATCAACAAGAGACCTGTGCTGCCAGAGCGCCATGCCCTCCAGGACATCGGAATCCCTCCTGAACCTCCAGAACGACTTCGTCCTCTTCACTAACTTCGGACTCTTCGAGTCTACATCGAAGGCCCTACCTGTTTGTATCAGATGGCCAACAGCAGTCGTCTGCCTAGGCAGCAACGGTTTCGTGTTCTCGTCCTTCAGGGTGTTGTTATTCGTGTCGTTCTTCTCGAGACTCTGAGGCCCGTTTCTAAACTTCTGAAGACTGTTCTGCGCGATCACGTTTTGATAACCGTGCCTCTCTATCACCTTGGTCCTTTCCAGTTTCGTTTCAAAGTTGGACTCGTAGCCTCGCTCCTTGTCCACAGACACCTCGCGAACGAACCTTGTCTCCCCGTAAATAGCTTCCTCTTTATCGGAGTACCTGCGTTCCCTGTAAACATGCCTTGGTTCCGTAGGTCTCTCTGGCGCTTCCTCGGAGGGTGGCCTAGGTCTCTCGAAGCGTCGACTCGACGCTCGCTCGATGTTCCTATTTCTGTCGGGATTCTTTTCGAAAGTCCTCTCTCTTTCATAAGTAGAAGTCTTTTGCGACGATGGGGGCGACTTCTCGAAGTAACGATCCCTCTCACGCTCGAATCTCTGCGGTCCACGACCTCTCTCGTCGTTGTACCTCTCGTAGGGAGGCGGCGGTTGTTTCTCCTCCCTGCGCTCGAGACTCCTGTAGTCGTTCCTCCGCTCGATGAATTTCGGCGGGCTGTGCTCCCTGGCGTACTTCTGGGCGGTTTGCTCCAGTTTCTGCGCGATGTGCTCCACTTTCCTGCCAGTTTCCGGGATGGTGATGGTGCTCTCGTCGTCTGTGCCCGAGGACGAGGCGGAAGAAGTCTTCTCGTTCTCGTATTTCGGCTCCTCCTGTTCCACAGGGTGATAGTTACGTCTAGAATTCCTCTCTTGGCCGTCTGGTCTATCCCCGTAATACTTTTTCCCATCGTACTTCTGGTAATCCATCCTGGTGCTATAACTGTCCTCCTCCTCCTCTTCTTCCAGCTCTATCTCGTCCTCTTCAGTCTCCACGGGCTCCTTGGATCTTTTCGTCTCGCGACGATCCTGCTCCTGCTCGTTGTTCCTTCTGGAATTGGTCCTCGACTGATCCTCGTTGGTCATCTTGTTCTTGCGATTGGCACTGCTACGGTTACGATTATCGTACTCGTTCTTCTGGGTCTTCTCCTGCGACTTCTTCACGGACTTCCGCGTCTGTCCGTTCTCCATTGTCCCACGATCCGAGTAGTCCCTCTCGTTCTTGCGATCCTGACTGTCGTAGTGGCGATTCGTGTTGTACCCTCCGTTCTCGTTGCTCTGATTGACGTTCGACTCAGCCCACAGGTCCATCGCGGTTCTGTAGAGGTGCCAGCTTTTCTCGTCCCTGGGTATCGTCTTCCAGGAATCGTTCTCCCAGTCCTTGGATTTCTCGTCCTTCTGCTGTTGCTTCGCGGCCTCGGCGATTCTATCGGCGCGCGGCTTTCTTCGGCGTTGTCTGTGTTTTTCGTTTCGGGCTCGGGATGAGTAAATAAGAGCAAGAGAGAAGAGCGAGTAGAAGAAGATAGAAGAGAGCAGTAGTGAGTGCAGAGCACAGGAGAGAAATGAACCAAGAGCCAAGTACTTGGGGGCGAGGGATTAGTTATGCGGCTGTCGAGCTATGTGGTTCGCGGATCTTTTGCGAAATGGTGGGGATGGGGGATATATGGCTGCTGGCATCGCAGGAACCCGGAGAGGTGAATGAGCCACCACCACGCCGTATTTTATTTCCATCGACCGCGATAACGCATGCGGAATCTACAAATCAGGAGAGAAAACAACATCGTGACTCCGGGTACAAGCCTACCGGTCGGGTATCGCGTCGTTATGGAGGAGGGAAGAAATAAAATGATGATAGAAGATGTTACTGGTAGAAATCTAATGTCATTTTCGGTGACTGTCGTTTGGAAGCACCAGGGGAACCCCTACGTTCGTGTGTCGTATCGTGCCTTTGAACTCGGAGAACTTTGTGATTAGAATCTGTGTGAATAGTACGAGGGTCATTTAAATATAAACCGGAATTTTTGTGCGCAACTTTATTGGTTCGAAAAAGCCTTCGCTTCTTCTTCAAATCGATTCACTAGTTTAATACATTATTGACCGGACACGAGTAAACTCGTGTTTGGACTTCCATTATCTATTATTCAATTTACGAAACCCAGAGCGATATACAAAGAATATTTAGGTTTACATCACATTCAATTACGGCAATCTATTTGTATTTGTATCTTTTCTCAATAGGTTGTGTAAAAAAAAATCCGATTTATATTTGGATGACTCTCGTATTATTTTGGCGAAAAAACATTATATGTAGTGTCTTGGATGTTTTCGTTGCTTTTGATCGTGAGAAAAAATGCGAGAAGTGATTTGGTTGGAAGAGTTAAATATTCAAATACTCTGAGGGTATGAATAAACTTTGTTTAATGAGTTGCAATGATTGATGGGATCAAATTCAATATCTACTTAAAAAATCAAGTCAAATCTAATTAAATAGAAACCTGTATAATTATAAGTAATCCGAGTCCAAAGAATCGATTCGCTACTACAGTCAAGTATCTTCGAGTCGACTAATTCCTCAGCAAAACCCATGCAAATGATGTACTATTTCAAAATTCCGTGCAAATAAGACATTAAGACACGAACGGCCCGATAAGAGGGATCGTTAGATTCGAACGATACAATTTCTACGTAATTTTATATAGGTACCGAGAACCAGGGTAGCGAATCAACCGAGAGCGGGAATAAAATACAAAGCTCCGAGGTCACGATTCAGTCAGGCACAAGCATTTCTACAGATTCGACAACGGTCATCGAACTACCTCCATCGAGATTCGATTAGAGAGTTACCAAAGTACCTTCGATGAAATTTTCGTGACGATCGCTTACCTCTTTGCCTCGTCGTCGCTGTAGTCGATGTCGGGTTGCGCCGGTGGCTCGTTTGAGAAACCACTGTCGTTGCTGCTGTGAAGGGACGTCACCACCTGAGGTGGCGGGACTGGCGGTGCGGGTGGTTGTATTCTGCGGCCACCGGCCAAAACGGTGGGCAACGTGCCCGATGGACGGATCTAAGGACGATTAGACATCGCATTATCGTTTTTCATGATTTTTCTTTGCAATCGAAGAAATATTTTTAAGAATGAGATGAAGCCATTTTCGCTAAAGTTATGAAATTACAAAAAAGACTATTGTCTTTTATGAATAAAGTTTTTTTTATTTGACTGTAATCCATTAAAAATTCAATAAACCTCTCGAACAGAAATAATATACAAACGTGAGAACGTGCAGTGTGAAATTCTAATTAACTGAACAACTTTGGGTCAAGGGATGCGAGGCCATACACACCGATTTCGACTGGCGTGCAGTAGGTGTTGCCAGATTGTGAGAACTGTTACTGTTCGGTACATTAGTAGGGGTACCGCTGTTGTTGTTGACGTTGTTGTTTCCTACTCCGTGGAAACCACTCGACATTTCGTCCATGTTGCTCGGTGCCACTGGTGGTCGAGAGGGTGGAGGCTTGCAGGGTGGACCTGCCTGCGGCTCCGTTGCCCGTCCATTATTTGTTCCGTGACTCGGCGATCTTTGCGCATACAATCGGATAATTAACTTCGGCAACAACACTTAGAGTAAGGAGTGATGTCAATCGGTGACGACATTAAAGAGAACAATTTATTTGTCAAGAATATTTTCACGTGGTGATTAAACATATTTTCTATTTCAAGTAAGGGATAGTAGTTTGTATCATATCACATCCAGAATGAAATATTTGATACTATAGTTAAATTCTCAAGTGAAATATTGAAATCCTTTGCATTAAATCTTACATGTTTTTTATTTACACGTAGGAGTCTACCTAATACATATTTAAAAAAAAAAATATATATATATACTGTCAGAATGAGTTAGATAATTCTCAAATGATAATAAATGCAAGTGTATCACCTCTCCGCTACGTAAACTGATAAAAGCAATCCTCTGTTTCCTCTGATATAACGATTCAGCCCATAATGGCAGCAATAAATAATTTTTTCCGCGTCGCCAGATCCACTTTAATTTTCGATTGCTCGAACATGCACCCCACTTAGCGAATAAATCGTCGGTTAATTCGAGCGTTAAAAACATTAAATTCTCCTCGGGAGGGAATCGCGAAAATCACCTGAAACGTTCCGGTTGAGCTATAATCTCTTATCGGAGGACCGTTTAAATGATTAAGAACCAGATTAACATTTTTATGCCGCCGTAATTCCGTGAACAGCGAGTCGACACGGTAAATCACCTTTAAGAGCCTTTTGATATAAAATTTCTACCGGCCGTTGCCGTAAATCGGCCATTGGAATAATAGGATTTAGGAGAGCAGATTCAACAATAACACCAAGACGAGCACGTTTAATGGGAATAGTTGCATCGACGTTGGCCATTGCCCGTTATCGTTCTAGATTAGCGAAATTGCATTCGATCCCGTGCAATTGTTAGCAACGAACGCCCGTAACAAGATCCGCGCTGATATCGTTCGGTCCCGTGGAGAGACTTTCCAGACTCTGTTAACTTACCCAAGAGTATCGTCGGGAATAATTTCTGTGTACGCCAGCGGGAACCAACCGGAGCTCTGCGTGCGGAGATTCTCCCCAAACTGCCAGCCCTTTTGGCGATCTCCTAATAAAGCAGTTCCCGTGAAACAGAAATAACGTTTATGGCGCTCGTTCGTTGATAGAACCGTATACCGCGACTAATAAGGAGTCTAGATTTTCGGGGAAATATTACATAGAGCAAAGTACTATCGCGGAAATAATTTATCTTTTGTATTGTCTAGGGGTGATTTATGACTGGCATTATTCCTTGCCAAAGGGGCCATTTCTGATATTTGGATGAAGTCACAGTCGCAATTTAACCCTCTGTTGGTTGGATTTTATTCGAATCGATGGAGAGTAATTTTGCAGGCTCGAAGATGTTGTTTATTTTTATGTCGGAAATGAATTTTTTTTCTTATACAAAAGGTATTAAAGGATTATTATAAAAGGATCAATGGTGTAAATAGTATTGGGTACATTTTGAATAAAATTTGAAATTTACAAAAAATATCGTGATATCGTTATTTAAATAAGTTTTTGCTGGAGCAATATTGCAGAACTACTTTTTGAAAAGTTGTAGGAACGTGTACGTGGGAATATTAAACTTCAAATTTGAGGGGAATTTCGCACGTCAGAGTTATTTGGAAAGCTTAACTATGTAGTAACGTGATACCTGTAGTAAGTTTATATCTTTCATAACCATAGTATATGTATAATAACAGTATCACGATTGACGCTCTGCGATCATAAATGAATCGTTATGTTTCTCAGATATACATCAATTTTAATCAATATTTTTCATACATTTAAGTTAAAATATTTAATTATAACACGAACTTTGCTGAGATTCATTTATTAGATTTCTAATGGGTTACCTTATGCAGCAGAGGGTTAATGAGAAGTATCAAAAAAATATGCTAGCATTTCTTTGAAAAGGACCGATGACAATGAGAACATGATACTTTTGCAGTAAACTAGAAGATCGAATATCCAAGTGAAACAGAAACCGCCCATTAAGGAGCCAGCCAGATATCATCATACGCTCTCAATAGATGCACCTCATATACTGCGACCCTTATTAAGCACGTCAATCGAATAGCATGGAACGAAGATTAGCAAAATCAAGAGAGGACTTCAGATGTCACTCCGTTACAATTAGTAAGTAGGGTGAAGTAAGTGATAGCATCTATTCAAGCTGGCACACAATAGCGTAGCGTTGATAATTTATTATTTATGGCGGCAGTTGCTATATTCTTACGTAGTTCCTTATATTAAAACAATTAAAAAATGAATTCTTCAAGTTCTTTTATAAAAATAGAGTAAAATACTACATGCTGCGTTAAAACAAATGTCAATTTGCATATGCAGAACAAATTTTTAGATTGAGTAAATTCATGTTAGTTATTCAAACATCGACACGCCTATTTCGAAGTTTATTTAAAGTAGATAAATCGATATATCGGTTACTCGAAAATAATTTCGCAAGAAACAAACAACATGTTATTTCAAATAGTCATTCCGTATTTTCCTTCCAAATATTCGTCTATTCCATTCGCATATTTATTTTCATATTTTGAGCGAATCTGCCAGCAGATATCGCGCTACGCTCTCGTGTAACAGATTGTAATAACACAAGTACATGTTGTTATTAGAATTGACGCAGACGAACTCCGAACCACGGTTGTTCGCAACGCTAATCGGCTAGGAAAATGCCACATGTTCTGGTCAGACGAGTACGGTATGTTTCATGAGGAAACAGACGCAAGTCCGGACGTCCAGCACTCACCCATCAGCGCGATGAGATCGCCCTCCAGGAAACTCAGCTGATTTTCCCCGGAGCTCAAATAGGCAAAGAGAGCCCTCGCGAGGGATGCATCCCCCCAACCACCAGAACTCACCCCTGTACCACTGCCGCCCCCGCCGCCGCTGCCGCTGTTGCGTGATACTGGCGGCGCCATAGACCTCGGCCTTGGTGGGGTTTCCGGAACCTCTGCGAAAGCGAGCACAAATACGATTAATCGGGCTCATTTCCATCGTAACTTGCACGTGGCGCGTGGAATAACAAGACCTGTAACACTGGTTGCGATTTTAACGTACAGATTTTCGACGTGTCCAGTTTCAGGGATTTATGCTATTGAACAAATTTAGTCGAGACCACTATGGACGCAGATTTTAGAAACTACGAGTTATAATATTTAAAATTTATTTTAATTTTTGGTTAACAGGATGTTTCAACCATGACGTATGTGTTTTCTTAGGTGAAAGAGAATCTTACTAATTAGATAAAAAAATTCGTAGAGAAAGAAATGGAGTCGTGATAAAAATTCGAAATGATGAATCGATCAGTGTAATAGTCCTACTAATGATGAAAGACAAGAGAGATAAGCAGTAGAGTATAAACAAACTAAAGATAAACAAAATCGATACGTGTGTCATTTAATTCCTTTTCATGAATAAAAATGAAATAATAAAATGAATACATGAATAAATGAATTAAAATTATCTGTCTTTATGAACAAACACGATACATTTACAGGAGAAAGAGAATAAGAAAATCATCCTAAATGAAACTAAACATACCAAAGCATACTAAGCATGCCAAAATAACGAGAATATTTCTCTGTCTCTTCAATAAATAAGAATTAAAAGTAACTGGAAAGGTAACACGATACTCGCTTGCGTCCATAAGACTTTCATAAAAAGCCACGGTACAACGAAATGTACAGTTTGTTTCACGCAAATTGTTGCGTTTCCCCACCGTCGTTGATCCTAGTTCCCCGCAATGTCCATTTTCTCGGCCGCACTCGTTTTCCACGGGTCCGTTGCACCTGAGGCAGGTTCCGCAGCACTCGCGCGAGTATTTCTGTTCTACCGCACTCTGTTCCAGGCCAGAAGAATGGCTTTCAGCCAAAAACCTCGCCGTTTCAAACAGCGCGCTTACTTGAATATTTTTACGAAGTTTCTAGTTTTTTCCACTTCCATCCCTTGCTCGATCCATTTCGCCCTCGCATTATTACCAACAAATTTATACACTTGGCTTGCAAGAGCATCGCTTTGTGGAAACTTTTGCGCTCCCGAAAACTCGGAAAGTTTGATTTTATTTAACGGGCTGTTCAGAAAAATGAACCGTTGCTGTTGGAAGCACAGTTATCGAATTCGTATCGTTGAAAAATTCATACTTTTACTTCTTGTCCTTTTTCGATTTTCCTAGAATTTTGAATGTTTGGTAAAGTGTTATTTCGGTCATTTTATAGTTTAATTGTATTTTCTGTACATCTGTAATTTTCGTTTTCAGGAGTTGCTAACTCGTTCCACTGAAAAGCTACTCCTATATCTCTTTGTCTCTCTAGCCCTCTTCTGTGATAGCTCTCCGATAACTGCTGCTCGCACAATGACTTTTCAGCCCTTTAATTCCAGGGGTGCGCATTAGTATTGCCATAGGAATCGATAAAGATTTCGGTAAATGCGATTCGTCTCTGCGAGGGTAATGGTAAAATTGGAAAATTCTCAACAAGCCCGGTACGGTCGATAAGTGGAATTCGATATTCGATACAGCGAGCTCTCTCGGTGCTCTTCAACTGTTTTGCGAGCACTTCTCCGCCAGGTCGTGTTGCATCCGTTTGTTACGTGTTCAACCCCGATGTCGACTCACTGGGAACGTACTCGGCCACTCGGGTTGGCTACAATAAAAACGATCGCGGTCTCGTGTTACCGCTTCCTCTGTTACCGGTGGGAATCCACGATCGCTGGCGTGTCGCTTCCAATGCAAAATCGAATCAAAGTTTTTGGTTTTTCGACGTCTGAAAGCGTAGAGGACGAATTGCAACCAGTGCACGTCTCTCAATAAATGGAATGGCGAAAAGAATAGCTGACGTTTGGCGAAAGTTTGCGAGGACGAGGATTGCTTATATTGGAGGATAGTACGATGATGGGAAAATCATTGCAGTGATGTGCATCGTATGTATGGTGGAATAGAAAAGGTCCAACAATAATTCATAAAACACCAGTGAATACATACAAATGAACCAAATTTAAGTATTTTTATTTTAATAATATAAATATAGTTCAAGAAAATTAAATACAATTCATGCGATCGAATTTTCAGTAAATGTAGAAATATAATCATAATATCTCGAAATATTGAAATCAATATTAGAAAATTGAAATAATGGTTAATCAATACTAACACTATTTCCTGAAGTTGAATATAATCTAGGATTTAATTTGCCTCATCGTTTAATTATTAGAGTCATTTCGAAAATTTAATAACGTTCCGAACAAAATTTACATGCACAAAAGTAGATTAGACTTTGAACGTTAATTAAAGCAAACGAAAAGTGCTTTCGACGATTAATTTCGTTGAAAATTTCACGGCGAATATTTTCTGTTTGATGGATTTGAACACTTAAATTAAATTTCATTCGCAATTCACCATATACAATAGCACGGCTGGCTGCACGCATTTATGTCGTCTATTTGCTGCGGAATATTCTCAATCGATTCGGGTTCATGAAGTTTCAGTAATATGGGTAAACATTCGATAAGTACGATGAAATCAAAAAGGGACAAATAGCAAATTTTGTAAAATTAATTATATAAAATCGCGAATGGACGACAAAAAAACCTTCTGTCCCTGCCGAATTCACTTTTTGTCTCGTGTATTTAGGTTTTATGGTAACCCGTTGCGGCATTTCGGTGCGTAGTTCTGTTTCCATATTCATAGCTTCAATGCTGAAAACTGGCACATGAAATTCTATCCAGACCGTATTCGATTACAACTGAATTTATACCCTATTGGATTCTTCCAATAACGGGAAACAAAAAGGTAGGAACAATGTACAAACTTTCGTGGGAAAACGTCATATTGCAGTTTCAAATTTTTTTTTTTAAACTGTTTCCAATGATCAATAGTTACCTTTACACTTTACAAAATTGATTTCCACCACACTAAATAATATTCAATGTAATAATAATAGTAAATGGCTCGTCACGATTGCATTTCATTATAACTCAGATAAAATTAAATCATGAATACACGAGTTGTTATTTTTGTAAATATTTCGTTCTAATTATTATCAGTATAAACTATGATAGACTGAATTTTAATCACGAATATTCTTGGTAATTTTTATCAAAAGCTATAGAAAATTGATGAATCAACGGGAATGGGGAATAAGACCTGAAGAATTTTGATGAAAAATTCTGCAACGGACTTACCCGGGTCTAAAGATAACGTTGAAGCATGTAGGTTGGCCTCCGACCTTGCTCTAGACAGAGCAGTTGATAGGTGCGAAGAGGGACCTTGATAAGTGGTGCTCGACACGTTTCCGGATGGTGGTCCAGGTCGAAGCTCCAAGCAAGAGCTGTCCATGCTTCTGGTCTTCCTCAATTGTGAGCTCATCGTAAGCTCTGAGCCGCCATTTTCTTCGTCCTCTGGCCAAAATGAAACTTGCTAAACAAAATGATAAAATGGAAAGAAATTTAATATAGAAACACATTAAAATGTACTCTTAACCGATACTTTTCTCGTTTTAATTTTATCTTTTCTTTCTTTATTTTAATCTGTACCTCGTTTATCGATACAATAGTGACACATTTTTTACTATAATATAATGAATAAGTGTACCAATATATTTTTCGTTCTATTTCTAGTCAACTCAATGGGTTATTTATAATGAAATATTTATTTGAAAGCATCAAACCTATAATCTAATTTAGATAAATTTCTTCTATTGACATAATGGGTATGAATACTTACGAGATTGTCTGTATAATAATATTATTATTAATCTACATATTCTTGATTTTATCGCCAATCATTTAAGAGTGTAATCATCTGTGTGTTGAAATATCAACCCTGCATTTATCATCAAGAGTTATTGCTTCAACACCCTCGTGTGCATCCCTAAAGCGTTGACATATGTCTCCAGGAAGCACAATATAAATTTTGAAGAAAGCAAGGGTAGCAAAGAGATATTCGTGTCATCACTCACCCTAAGTCTTGAGGCGAACATATCTTCCACGGATTGGGGTAAGTATTCCCTGGTAGCAGCCACCTCGCGCCACTTATCAACCGAGGGATGAAGAGCAGCTAACGCGACCTCATGAAAACTCGCATAATGTTTCGCCAAGGAGCATTGTCGCTCGAGAACAAAGCCGTACCTCCTTCGTTCCTGTGTCATCGCCTGGAAAAGGGGGTTAAGGGGCTCGAAACCTAATCATGCACAGTCGTTAACCTAATTCCCTCTGGGCTACTTAATTCAGTTAAACTTATACGGAGATTGTCACCGTTTCATTTAAAGAGAACTAATAACAGACTCGAATACTAAGGACTTGCTAGTTATTGGAATCTCATTTATTAAAACATTTCGGAATATATAATAGGCCAGTCATTGTAGACATTGCAAAAAATACTGTAAACTTGCTTTTTTGATATGATGTAAGAGACCACCTAAATAGTATAAATCTAGTTTACAGTATTTTATAAAATGTTTAGCAAAAAAAATTGTCTAATATGACTGGCCTAATAACTAAGAGAATTAGCTTCTAAATTATAGATTTCAATGATATATATCATAGAATTATCTTTTGTATTACGACATTCTCCACTCTGAAAAATCAGGAAGTCAGAAAAATCAGAATCTACTCACGTTCTTCAAGCTCTGCTCACAAAACGCGTCCAGCTTGGACTTCTCCTCCTCAAGAATCTGCATATTCTTCAGCTCTTTGTCCATGGCGAGTCCACTCTTGCTAGCACCCCTCGACTTTTTCCGCTGCTTCTTCATCGTTGCTGCTGCTTTACTGTACGTTTCGGATCTGGTCTTGTGCTGCTGAAGAAACTTCTTCTGCTCGCTCTGTGAAACGTATTACTGCATTATTCAGGGCTGCCGTTGGATAACTGATAACCCCGCCGCGGCGGGGGTTTCTGTGAACGCTTACCTGAACGACCTTGGTGTCTTTTTCCAGGTTCGTCTCGAGTGGGACCAGTAGGTCGACGTAGAACGCCTTCAACTGAAAGCAAGCAAACGGGCCGAGCTATAGCGGGGCTCAAGACGTTGGAAGATTTTAATGCACGGAAGCGAGGAGAATGAACTCTAAACGAGCTTAGGTAATGAGGGACTTTCAACGTTTCCCGTGCGGATGCGAAAGGGTTATCGCTAGCTTTGTCCGCGACGTAGCCGACAACCGTGCGAGCTGCTTTCTGAACTGTTTCTAAACTGCGTTTTACCCTGTAGGAATTGAGGGAGCTCCAGGATTTAACGAATATAAAAATGCGATATCTTTACGATGTATTGCATGTAGGTTGGAAATATCGTTGTATCAAAAGATATCTGGGTAATGTTTTTTGAAAATAGTGTTTTATTTTTCTTTTTGGATTACTTGTCTCTTGGAGTTTCCTAGTTGACTTTTATTTTTAATTTTATTTTTAATCTGCTGTTAATGAACAAAGATGTTATTTAAGGGGATAGTAAACAATTTAAATGGCTTACTCGATTATTTTTTTTAAGCACAAAATCGTTTTGTGTTATTGATATTAAGGTTTGTATTCACTAACGCTTCAAGAAGTGTTTCGAAGAAAACCCGACGACTCGTGAAATGAAAGAAGACGACTCGTGATAAATACCCATCATCGACTGAGATATTGTTGCAACTGGATTCTGGCGACAGCGGGCACTCTCGTTTAATTTCTCGTTTAAAAAAAAGGCAACAGCTGCGGGGAGCAACAATCGAAATAACGCGTTTGACGTTCTCACGTTGGCGGTGGGGGCAATCTGTCTGGCTGCATGTCGAAATAAAAATCAGAAAATCCATCCGCTGGAGCTCGTCGTCGAAACGAAATCCGCGGAGCTTGGTGTTAGTCGTCGGACGAGCGATGGGACACGAGGTTGATCGGAATTCTTTTTTTTTTTATTGCCTCCGCGGCTTAATGGACATTGATTAGAGGCAGCATTTCGATCAGGAATACGTTTCCGCGAGTGAGCAACCTTCCACCGCTGTAGTCAATCGCTGCCAGTGAAAAGCATTCGTTGAAAGAGAAGAGAAATACGAGTTGAAGTGGCTCTGTTGATGCATTCGAAAGAGCCTCGTGCATTTTCGATGCGTTTCCCTTGGCCTTCAAGAGCGCATGGGTTGGCGAGTAAAACTCTTGGTTGGGCTTCCAATGAACGCTTCAGGTTGTTACCGGCGCTTAGGAGAGAATGCTAACGGTCTGTTTCAATTTAATCCTGTCTGGACTTGGCAACTGACGATTAGGTAACGTTGTCTTCGTCATAGGATCTAGCTGTACTTTTTCGGTTTTGAAAATAACTTTTTGTTTTAGTTGTGCAGCTATGCAAGTGACAAGACACAAGTTGCTAGATCCCTTAACCGTTTCTGTGATAATTTCAGCGCTTCTTTGAGTGTTCAGCGAGACTCTCAGACATTAATTCTGTTTACTTTCGTTAACGATCTTTAAGGGTTTGTCCTGTGTAAATTTTTTTGCTGACGCTGGTGATTTAGAATTATTAAAATCAATGAAAGACTTCGTAGGATCATATTTTATAATGGATGTTAGTTTAAAATTCAGTTTAATGAATGTAAACCATAGCTGGACGCAAAATTGTGACTGTTTATGAATTTGATAAGTGTGAAACACATCTTCATGAAAAAACATCTCTACTCAGTTTCGAACAAACTCCAACCGAAACGCAATCTTCGAATGACGAAATTTGGAAAAACCGGGTAAGAAGAAGCTGGAGCGCGTAAAATATCACAAAATGGCGTTGTTGGCGGCAACGTGAAACAAATCATGGATTTAGTGAGTAGTTTCGTGACGCTGAAATTCTATGCGTTTGACAGCTTTACGTTTCTCGTCGCAGCGTGGAAGTAGGTTCCGCTATTTATTTGTCAGCAAGGGGGTCCTTTTGCATTTTTTCGTCCACGTTGTTCTCCAAACCACCCTCCGGAACTCTCATTGTTTTATTTACGAGCCGATCGAAAGCGAATTTGTCGAAAAAGTTTTCCTCGCTCGGGAAACAAGAAGCCTGGGTGCGCAAAACCGCGCGGAAATTTCGTTCCCCGTAAACGTGTTTTGATTCGGAAACTCTCAGATTTAATTAAGCGCGTCGAGAACCCCTAGGCCCTGTGAAAAAGCAGCGTGCAATTTTAATGCCGTGCACGAAACTTTTACAGCCGACTTTACGATCTGTTTCCGGGTTCAGCGTCGACTTGCTTATTTCATTGTTCGCTCCCTTTTCACAGTTGCGAATCCGTCGAAAGAGGAAACCGACGTTACGCCTTTGTTCATCGCGATCCCGTGTCAGTACCCGATTCACGTTAAAAGCGGAAGCTCTCGGAACTTTTTTGCAGATTTTCGATAGTTTTCGGTGGGGGAATAATACCCAAGGCTGTAGGATCGAGCTACATCATGTCATTGGATTTTGGTATCTAGTTTGCAAATTTTTAATGCCAGATCGATAGCAAGCCAAGATTTAAATCAACCCCGTCACCACTTATCATGATTCCATCGACAGCTACGTAAAGCTCCGAAAAAGAAGGTTAAAAACACGGGTTAGAATTTCTCCTGGATTCGCCTAACGAATATTAAAACGAACGTGGAACTCGCACCCCGGCAACGTTAGACGTTTCCATTGACCCACGGCCCTACCGGAAGTGGCCAGGATTTGGCTCGATGAAAGCGAACCATCCGGTTCAGCCCACTGGAAGTCGACCAGGGAGAGAGTGGATAAAAGGGGGACTGCTCCAGAGGGCGCTGACGCGAGTTTTCAGCCGTTCAAATTTACACACAAAGGGTGAGGAGTCGGAGAATGAGAAAGAGACAGGGATGTTTGCCCCGGCGCTTCGCCGGCTTGGAAGGTTCGTGACTTTGCTGGCTTTTTACACTGGATTTCCACATCCGCCCTGAAAGGCCAGCGTTCTCGGATCTACCCCTTAAGAGAGAGAGAGGGGGGGAAGTAGTGCTACAAGAGGGGGGAGGGCAAAATCTTGGTACGAAGGCACCAGAGACGCGTTTGGGAAGACGATAGTAGCGTGAATATAATTCTGATTCTAATGGATGCTTACAAATCCATGTGTGCTTCATATTACGAACAGTGGCTGACTAAGAATGTACTCTTGATTTTCTTGGAAGGAAAAAAGTAATTTATTATTAGTCTCTGCAAACGTTAAGAAAGGTGGAAATTTGATCAATTTGATAATTACGATTAAATATTTCTTATAAGCAATGAATCGAAGAAGCAACGGACGCTTCTTGTTCATCCATCTAGAGATCATTGTCAGTATACACTCAGACAGATCGTACGATTCAATTTATGCCTGCCTTAGTAGGTATTATCATAGCGAAGAGGGAATTAGTGATAAGCTTTCCGCTTTAATTCCTTCATCAAATCTCGCATAATGCAATTTGTATTACACCAGTGAAACTGTTCAACCTGCGCAACGAGAGATTTAACGCGTCTTTGCATTCGCAATAATGTCGAGTCCAACACGATTTCCAGCGATACAGAGGATTTAGCGTCCTGTTCGTAATAATTTTCAAAAAGTACACAGAAACTAGTTAGCCGTTTCAACACATTCGCGACCGCTAACAAATTTGATTCCTGGTTATGAAAAAATTGTAAAAAGCTTTTTATTTTACACATTACATATTTACAACATTGATATTTCAAAACATATTTTGTAATTTTTAAAATTTTGTTTAATCGTCCAATGTTCTAGAAAATTTCATTTGCGCTCTTAAATTGAACGCGAGATACGACGATAAAGTCCACTGTTTCACAATTTTACTTCGAAATCTATTGCCACTTGATTTTCGCGTGGATACCCTCTATTAAAGAGCCTCCGCATCCTTTGTAGCCGGTGCATCGACAGAGTCTCATATATTTAAATCGAATATTGCGCACGAGGTTCAATTCCAATTTCTTTTATTCGATTTCCGCATGCACGGAGGAGTTTTTAAGAGCGACGTTTCCGTCAACACTTTCGATTGGATTGCCACGTCTCGGGGCGCTCCTACCGTTCGCAATAAAAAGGGAAAACAAGGGTTCAACGATTGGCTTCTATCCAACGAGAGAGATCCTTCGGCGACTAGGGAAACAAAAAGCCTGCCGTATCATACCTTTCGCTTGGCAAAAAACTAGAGACTCGGTAATATATCGGCGCACTCCTTTCGCTGATTCATATCGCCAAGATTCGTTCGTCCAAAAAGCGATTAACGAGACCGTGAAAATTCATAGTAGCTTCCCCATTCACTCCAGAAGCATCGTGTAACGGGGAGGATCGATCACTCGGAAGCGAACTCAACGGAAGTGCGATGTTTATAATGAAGTTCGTCCTGCCACCTTGGAGGGAAACTTTTACTTTTCAAAGTTCCCAGACTCGAAGAACTTCTAAAGCATTCGCGACAAGTTTGAGAGGACGCTTTGAGATCTTTTGGAACGGTGATCATTAAATTCACGACTTGTTGCTGAAAGGGTCACTGTCAACGCTTTCTTTTTCAGCTATTATTATGCCAGAATAAATACGAACCGAAGTCGTGTTCCCTTTGGTAACGCTGCAATTGCTGAAATATTAAGATTGAAAGTGAAACGAATGGAGCATAGTATTTGATATTTAAATTGCACGATGTATAATTTGAGTAAAATATATTATTTTTCAAGACTTTAGGGACCCTTCCAGGTTTTCGATTTGTAGGTACGACACCATCTTTAGAACTTCATTTAAAGAGAATTTATTAATGAAAGCAAATGTCACAGACATACTAGGTTAATAATTCCAGCTTTTTAGTGATTTAAATATGTTACAGTACCGCTTCACATGATTAAACTTGGTGAAAGACATTCAAACATTATTTTTCCAATGAGAAATGTGAGGTTCCAGTGTACCTTAGTACTAAGCTTACCGACACTTTTTTCAATTAAATGCAAAAATATTTTACGTGGAACTGAATTCAATAATGCACGAAACAATGGTATATTGCATATAATAAATACACGCTAATTTGAAACCGGTCG